ACACTCAGGCCACTAAGGCCCGTTGTGGTGATAGAAAAGAAGACTTTAACTGATTAATTCTTTTTATTGTGAATTATGTGCCGTATAACGCATATTGACAAAATTTTTAAAAAGTATCTCAAAACTACAAGCCTCCGGTGTCCCATAATAAAAATGATAAGAGACGAACTTAACGATTTTCCGTTTAGACATATTTTTTTCTAAGACACTTCTGTAGACCTTTTTCATGATTCGGTGTCTTACAATCGACAATTGCCAATAACCATTCCATTACACTTAAGTAATTTTAAGAAAAATAGTGATCTAGAGATATTTTGAAAATATAACTAAATGCAGAAAAGTCCATTTCCTTAATTTTATACTTATTTCCAAAATTTATTTTAAGATTTCATTTGATTTACTAATCAATTTATTCTATATAATAAATTATTATTTTAAAAAGATCGCATTAAGACAAGTATAAAATTTGTCAATTTAATTGCGTTTTTTTTGCCCGATAAACTACAATAAATTTATTATAATGTTATTTAGCATTATTTTATAAAGTATAAAATCAAAAGAAAATAAAGACACGAGTTTTTTACGTGAGACAAAATTTATCGTAAATTTATAAAAATTTATACGATAGATCTTTCCTCTCTCTCTCAATCGATTGATGTCATTAGTTTTAAAAATGATTTTTATTACCACTTCATCATAACCCTTAAAATAGAAATTGTTTTAAGTTTTTTGCGATTTTTTTTTAATAAAAATTGTTTTAAATGTACATTTTGTTGTTTTTTTTTAATTTACGGTACTTACGTATTTGTATACTTAACGTATATATTAAAAAAAAACACTTTGAATTAAACAAAAAATAATATTAAGAATAAAATTTATTATATTTTCATTTTAATGAAAATTTAGACTTTGTAATATTTTCAAATTGTTTTTGCAATATTTTATAAATTTTTATTAAGATTCAATAATTTAAATGTATACATGGATGTGCATATATGTATATGCCTGTAAATTTCTGCGTATTTAATTTATGAATTTCAATTGACAATAATTTTGTCAATTTTATCATAGAAAAAAAAACATATTTTTAATAAAATATAAAAATATCACTACCTACTTATCGAATTTTATTAATTTTTACTATTTTTACAAAATATTCATAATACAATAATAAATATTTCGAATATTTCGAAATATGTTCTATAAATTATATTGTATATGAGAATTTTATAGTTACTTGGCTATTTTTTAAAAAACTTAAATGAATTTTGTTATTAAGCAGGCAAATAACTTCAGTGTTTTCCGAAAATAACTAAAAGCTCTATATTTTAAGAAACTAGCACTTATCGAATGAAATATACAAAAAATTAGATTTAGGTTAACGCTTTTCTTGCATTCAATTCAAGAGTAAATAACAATAATCTTGATACACGTACACATACATACATATATGTATACGAAACACTGTCAGGTATACAAACTCTCCCACATGCAGTCTTAATTGCATATTTATTCTTGTAGATGTCTTTTCATTTTTGTTTATATTTCTCTTGCATATAGGAAGGCGTATATCAACATCATTTATAACAAATAGTTTCAAATTTGACAATTAGCATTAATAAAATCCTGAAAAATATTACAAATTTTCATGATACCAATGAACGTTAACATTATGTACATTGCAGGTACTTATGCAGGTTTAAAATTCCAACGCGAATATATTTGGAATTTACATTTGTGCATGTGTACAACTTATTTCCACAAGTATTCTTTTTGAATATCAAACATGTTATATGCAATTACAAAGTACTATTTTATTTTCTCTCCACCCTAGGAGAAAAGAACCTCCGGAAAATATATATTCGTTCAATACACCGATTATATTTATAACATTTGAAATCGTTTACAATGAGACATGTAAGTAAAAACTACTTACTCTAATTGAAACACTTTCTTTAAAGAAAAAAGATTATTTTTTATAAACACAAAAAATTTCCATAAACAAGGTATAATAAAGAAATAAAAAAAAATATCAGCTGAAGTTTAATAAAATTTAATCAGCTGATAAAATACTGACACTCTGTCTATAAGTGATTTGCTTGTAACGCTATAAAATTTTTCAAAATATTATGCAAAATCTATTTTATTTATTCTGAAAACAATAATACATAATGCAGTTAGTGCCATAATATAAACGAGTTTGTGCATTAATTAAATAAAATGTTCATTTATTAAAGTAAATAACGTTATCAATATTTTATATTGATAACAGTACATATTGTGCATGATTGATTATTAAACACTAGGTTTCTTTATTATTAAATATCAAATACATATTAGAAATTTGATAATAGCAGATGTTGATACACATGTTTGCTTGCATTCATACATTCAAAACAATATTTATTTATTGTTGCAGTTTTAGATCATGTAAGAGCCCTGTGACAACACTCAATTTGGGTACAATTTTATTTTTTAACTTTTCAATTCCAAAGAATTTAAAAATATAAGGCGAAACGTCTGACTGAATAAAAATTTTAGGGCTTTTGTGTTTTTTTTTTACCCTTGCCAGAAACTTGTTAATCGTTTATATAATATGGGAAATATAGATTTCAAAGAATATTCATATTTTGAAAAAAATAATAATTGTTATTATTTAACAAAGTTGGGTCAAACCAATGGTTTGTAAGGAAGCAATTTTTCATTCAACAAGTGAAAATATTGTTTTCAACAGTTTGGTAGCGTAACGGGTACAATTATTGACACTCTAAAAATTCTCGACAATTATTGACACCCTGATTGCTATAGTACTTTTCGTACTTACATATACGAAAACCTATTACGGGTTTTCAACATCAAAAATTTTTCTCATTCTAATTTTATTATATAATAAATTTAAATTAATTGGTTTTTAAATTTAAATAAAAAAGAAGAATATTACAGAACTCATTTTAGGCAGAAAAGTGGTGAAAATCAAAAAAAAATTAGTACATTTTAAGGTTCAAGCGATATTTTTAATGTAGTGTCGCACTTTTTAAATAAATGAATGCTTAATTTTATATTTATACAGGGTTGCTCGTAAATAATTTCATGGATGATTCTTTAATCAATTTTCAGCAAAAAATTGTATGGAACCCCCTCCCAGGGTGCAGATATACTCGTTTTCGAGGTATAGCCTGTTGAGAAAAAGGTACCAAACTCTTTCTGCATATAAATAAATGCTTATAATTCCGGAACAATACAACATAAAGTTATCATTAGGTGCTTGTTTTACAGGCAATTGATTGTTCTTTATTTTTGGTAATTAATTTGATTTGAGCCATAGTTTTCGAGATACTGCTCGTCAATATTAGAAAATTTTTTCACAAAACTCGAAATTTCTCAAAAATTTTGGTTATTATGGTTTTGTTTTTGTTTTTTTCGATGCACTACGATGAGATCTAAATGTTAACCCATATAATATTTTCCTCTACTTCTCACAGTTTTGCTAGTGAAACGAGTTGAATATTTTAAAACATGCGAAAATTATTCAACGATTATAAAAGAAAGGTAGTGTCAATTATTGATCAAATTTTCGATAAACTTCTATCATTGACATGTGGTGTCATACTTTTTGAAACAATTTATGACACCAACTAAAAATTGTTATTTTTAGACGAAATAGCTCGGCAAGTGGAAGAGCTTCAAAGAAACTTTGATAAGTAAAAATTTTCTTCCACATAAATAAGTTTCTACTACGAGTAAAGATTTATTTCTGTATAAAATTTGAGCTTTCTATCTCAAATGGTTTAAAAGTTTTTTAAACAGACTCACGCACAGCAAATCGAACGATTTGATTGCAGCTGTACAGAATTCTTTTTACATTATTCAATCAGAAAATCTTGCACATTTTAAAATATTCGAAGATCAAAAATACAGAATTTCCTTTTCTAAAGTCTCAATTTGTAGTCACCTTAAAAAAAATTTTGATGCCTATATATTAAAATAGTAAGAGGACACATGTGTGACCATATAGTTTTGGAAGAAAGCCAGCCTAATATGTCATGCTCATCAAAATATCAAATTAAGTATTAAAGAGAAACGATTTTTGTTTTTAATTAAAAATATATTTTCGCATATTTCTATTTTATTTTATTATATCACATATAAATTTGATCCTTTTTTTTTTGAAATTTGAATGTGCATACATACATATGTAGATATAAGATTGAGATATTTAAAATAATTAGTTCAATACTGTATTCCGAAATTTCTCAAATTTAGTTTCAAATCGGTATTTTCTAATATTCTTTGCGGATATGAAAAGTTCGAATTCAATTGTGTTTTACTAAATATTTCAGAAAATTTTGCTATATTTAAAACCCATTGGTAGGTGGGTGTCTTAATTAACTTTTCAAAATTACATATATTTTAAAATTTTGCGTTGGGTTTTCAATTTTATATAAAAATTGTGTTATATTACCAGTGGCCTTGATTCCTTTTGCTTAAATTTTCTAATTTTATTATTAAAAGTTTATCCAATAACTTTCTTAATGTTTGTGATCCTCATTTAAGGGTACATAACACGCCCAACTACACAAACCTACATAAAAATGCAATTATTCACATCTATTCCCAGAAATGGCGATATATTGTTATATAGAGAATAAGCCTCTAATTTTCAGTATTTCGAGAACTAAAAGTCAAGGCTCAGACTGTTATGTCCTGTATTCCAGATTGAATCAATTAAAAATATGTAATGTAAATTTATGTACAGATAATTTATTAATCTCCCTCATTTTTTTTTGAAATTTCAAATTTTTAACATTAATACAAATGTATGTATATTACGTTTACAAAATTTTATAACAACATTGTAAAAATATACAATTAATATTTACATAAAGTAATAATCTTCCTATTCTATATAAGTATTCTATTTGCATATACTAATTTCCGTACATGGTTATGTATGTATTTATGTACATTATAGGAATTGTAAGTAAATTAATTTTAACAAAAGAAAAAAAAAGTATAGTATTATTTACATTAAATTAAGAATCAAATAATAAAAATAAAATTTATAAATTTTCAAAAAATATAAATAATATGTAAGTATATTATGAGTATACAACTGTAATTCGCTTTTCATCAGATTTCATTTATGTCATCTAATTATGTGACCTTATGAGATTTACTTTTATTCATTTGCTTAATACTTAAGCACGATCCCAAATACTATAAGGACGACTATATTTTTCTTCGTCTGCTTCAATTTGGGCGTAATCGATTTCTAAATATTCTTTACCACCAAATGATATTCTTTTACCTGTATCACGTTTCAAAAAGCTTAAATGAACAGTTTGATCTTCTTCATCTTCACCTAAATGAATTTTATATGATATACTTGTAATTCTTTCAACAATACGTGCTTTACGCCATTTTATTTGTGTTTTTTTGAAACGTTCACCATATAAAACAAGTTCATCTGGTTCAAAAGCTCTCGGTCTTATACATGGTTTTGGAGGTGCTTTAATCAATTCTTCCGCATCGATTTCATCTTCTGCTTCTTCATCTAACGTATTATTTTCCTCATAAATTTCTTTTTCACATATTTCTGGTTCAATTGGAGGCTCAGAATTTGTTGGAGAAATTGAACGTGGTGGACCATCTGTTATAGATAATCTACGTTTTACTCTTTTGATTACAACTTTTTTAAGAGCTTTCCGTTTTTTAGCAGATTTTTCTTTAATACTATCACCTTTTGTATCTGTATCTGTTGTTTCAGCTGTAGACTCGGATGTATAATGTTCATCTTCTGTTGTCTCATTTTCTGAGTGACTACTCTCACGCAGTCTTTCAATAACATTTAACTTAGATTCAGATCCATCTGTGATTTGTGATTCTTCTACATTTTCTTGAGTAGTTTCTAATTTATCTTGTTCTATGGATATAGTTTCACTAGATATGTTCTGTTCTGAAATTTCATTAGGGGCTGATAAAGTTTCAGATTCAATATTTTTAGTTTCCGTTTTCAATTCATCATGAGAAATTTCATGGGGTTGAAGAATTTTAGTTTCTTGAGTAATGCTTTTTTCAACATTAGTTGATTCCTGAATGTTAAATGTTTCTTCGTGTTCGGTAGAGTTTGACACAGCATCAACCGTTTTTGTAATTGCTTCTTTTTCGTGCAGTACTTCTTTCGCAGTTATCACTACAGTTGGTATGATGATCTGATTATTTTGAGTTAATAGGTTATTTAACGTTGCAGTTGTAGTTTCATTTGCTTTGATATTTTCCTTTTGCGTTTCTATTGACAATTTCATAATATTTTCCTTGTCATTACTAGAAGTCGTTGACAGTTCTTTAGATTTTTCAATTGTTTTAGACACACAGTTCATTTCAGTATTCTTGTTAGTCGTAATAGTATCAACATTTACTGTTACTTTTGGAGCTTCATTTTGTTTTTTCTCAATTTCTTTTTCCACTTTTGCAGTGTCTTCTTTATAAAGTATACTTTCTTTAGATATGACTGTATTTTCAGCAGTTTCAGTTTTTGTAACGCTTATATCTTTCACTAGCTTAGTATCCGTTGGCTTTTCGGCGCTTTTTATGCCAGAAGAATTATCAGTGCTGACTTTTTTCTTTGGTGCAACGTCTGTAGATTTAGAAGTAACAGAAATTTCTTTAGTCTTATTTTGAATTATGCTGCCATTTGGTGTTAACTTTGTGCCATCATGCTTTTGAGAGTCCTTTGCTTGAGCCGTTACTTTAATAGGACTTGAACTTTTAAAAGGGCTAAGAGGTTCTTTTACCCTAGAAACAGTAAATGTTTTAGGAACTGTTTTTGATCCAATTTTCTTTACTTCTGTGCCACTTTTTTGAACCGTTATTTCTTTAGTAGCAGGTGAAACTTTAACAACCTTCCTTGTTATTACTTTAGGTTCTTTATTTGAAATTTCTTTTTGTGGGCTTGTTTGATTTTTAACTTCTTTATTAGAAGTATTGCTAGTTGATGTAGTTTTAACTGTCGTTTTAACAGCCTGTTTCGGCAAATCGGTAGAATTTTTTGGAACACTAGCTTTTTGTACAGTAACTGGAACAGCATTTTGCATACTCGCTGTAATATTCTGTTTTGATACAACAGAGGTTTTATCCGGAAGTGAATCAGTAGATGTTGTTACTGTATTCAATGGTTTTGGTTTACTTGCAACAATTTTATTGGCCGGTAAGCTTTTCACACTTTCAACATGCGAAGCTCTTCTTTGTTGAGTTGTTATTGTAGTTTTTACTTTTTGTTTATTTTCACTTTCAAGCTTTTTAGCATCAGTTATAGCAACAGAAGCCCTTCTATTAATAACTAAAGAATTTTCAGAAATAGTCATTCTTTTTGAAAGTTCAGTTTTATTTAGATTTGATGTATCAGTTAAATTATTATTTTCTTGATTTAATTCTTTCTTAGCTGGTTCAATTTCCGAAATTATTTTACAATTATTATCACCTTTTGGGAATTCAATCAGTTCAGGATTATCAAATTCAATGGATCCTTGTGGTACGACAACCTTTGAAACAATTACTTCTCTACTTAAGAGTATTGTAAAATCATCTAAATCATTGGAAATATTTTTTGTATCGTTTATAATTGTTTCCTCAGACTTTTTATTTAACGGTTTGTCATTAGTAACTAAATCAGTCTGCGAGCTTTCTGTTTCAGTAAGATTATTTAATTTATTTAAATGGTTGTTGGAATTTTTATTATTTAAACTTAAGTTCAACTCAGTAGCTTCTGTTTTATTGTCAGATGCGTGTAATATTGGAATTTGCTCAGAAGCTTTTAGTAAATCTAATATTTCTAATGATTTTGAATCTGACACTTCATTTTGTTTTAAAGTTTTATCATCGACGGAAATTTGTTTTTTTAATTTTATACGTTTTGGTTTTTCAGTTCCACTTAATTCATTCGAATCTTTATCAAAAGAATTGATTTTCTTAATTTTTTTAAGTTTTGGTTTAACGACACTGTTACCAGTAATGTTCAAATTATTGTTTTCATTTTCCACAACGGGTGGCTTTTTCAATAATAATTTTTTTACTTTTTCTTCAGCACTTTCTGCAACTTGTTTTTTAATAATGTTCTTTTTTACTTTTTCATTTTTAACCTCAATTAAATCAGGAGTTGTGTGTTTTTTATTAACTAAATTATTTTCCTTAATTTGATTGTTGTTTATTTTTTCATTTTTTTCTTTAATTAAATCTGGACTTGCATGATTTTTCTCAATTGAATCATTAATTTGATTATCTTGAATTTGATTATTTTTTTCAGTGTTTAATATATTTACAGTTTTATCATTATTTGATTGAATTGCAATTTGATTTTGGTTATCGTTTTTATTATTATTTTCTATAGTAACTTCAATATTTTTTAATTCTGTATTTAAATTATTGTTATTATTATCAACATTAGCCTTATTTAATTCTTTATTTTCATTTGAATTTTGTAAATTTTCCGAACTTAATTCGTTCGTTTCTGATTGATTTCTGTTATTGTTATCGATTTCATTTAATTGATTAGTTTTATTGTTTTCTTGATCTATAATTGTTTCGTTAATATTATTAATGCTTCGTCTTGTTTTTCGTACAAAACGAAATTGTACGGGTTTATTATCATCAGCGATTGGTGCCATTTCTTCTTCTTTTTGATTTATTTTAAAATCATCAGATAATTTATTTTGTCTTGATAAACGTCTATTAGTAATTGAACGATTACCAATTAATTTATCTTCAATTTCAATACTTTGTTCCGAACTATATTGACGAATAACACCTTTAACTTCACGAAGGGCGTTTGAAATATTAGCACGTAATCTATTTAAACGTGTAATTGGGTCTTCATCTTGCGATAATGTCTTTTGTCTCATAGATTTATATTTATCTTTATTATTTATATTATTATTATTGTTATTATTATTGTCAGATTGACCGTCAATTAATTTATTTTTATCAATTGAATTGAGTTCATTAATATCGATTGATCTTTTTGTAGATTCATTAAAGTTCAAATTATTTTCGGTTATTTCTTGCTCTTGTAATATTTTTTGATTTGGAACAATACATACACCTTGAGCTTGTTTTAAATTTTCATTGATTTCATTATTTTTGGCATCAAGTAATTTTAATTTAATTTCATTATCTAATTCTTTTGATTCTTCTTTAATAAAATTTAATTCACTTATGTTGTTGTTATTTTCACTTTTAATTATATCTGAACTATCAATTAATTTTATTGAACCAGATTCATCATTTAATTTTAAATTAGTTTTCCCGTCGGATGATTCATTTATATTTACCGATTTATCATCCAATTTTTCATTATGTTCTAAAATATAATTAATATTTTCACGATTAATATCAGATTTTTGAATTATTTTATTTTCTAAATTATTTTCTTTATTATTTTCTGATTCTAATGAATTTTGATTTTCTGAATTAATTTTACACAATTTATTATTATCTTCCACATTTATAATATTTTTAGAAATTATTAATAATTGTTCTTGCAAATTTTCATTATTTTGTAATAGATTTGTTGTATTTATTTTAGAATTAACGTTTACCGCTGAGACAACCGATTTATTAAATGAATCTTTAAATTCTATTTGATTTTTTAAATCATTCGCTTCAATATCTGATACATTTTTTGATTGTATGTTGTTTTGTGTTGTTGTAGAGTTCGTTAATATTGCGGTAGTGTTATTATAGTTATTGTTAAGCGAGTAATGTTGTGGTTGTGAAAAATCACTATTTTTATTTAAAATATTTTCTTTTTGTGCACTTTCAACGTTTACATTCGGTTGATGAGTGTTAATAACAATTTCTTCTTCTAAAGTGTTGGTATTAATATTTACTAAAGGCGTATCTGAGATAACGTCATCAGTATTTTTATTTTGTGTAATTTTATTTTTATTTTCCGGTAATATTAAATTTTCATTAAAATCATTAAGTGGTGATGATGCTGATAATGATGTTGATAATTCGAATTGATTATTGCCACTATTGTTTTTATTTTTACTAATACTTTCAGGAATATTGTTGTTATTATTAAAATTATCTCTATTGCCTTCATTGCTATCACCATAATCGAACGTAACAGAATCTATTAATTCATTATTATATTGTTCCAAATTATATTGTAATTTTCCATCAGTTAATAATGTTTTTGTTGTTGTTTTTGTTATTTGTTGTTCCGTTGTTGATGTTGTTGTTGTTGTTGTTGTTGTTGTTGTTAATGAAGATGACGTGATCGTATCATCATCAATAGGAATTGTTGGTTGACTATTATCGATGGAACAACTTCTTTGATCATTTGGTGTTTGTTGGCTTTGATCCAAATGTTGTTCATCTTGCGTCATTATTTCTTTTACGTTATTTATTCCTTCTTTTTCTATATTAGTATCATATGACGTTTCAATTGTATTTATTAATGATGATGCAGTGGAGAATGATGATGTTGTAGAATAAGGGGAAAATTGTTGTGATGTTGTTACTGGTAAAGATTGGCATTCCAATAAACGAGAATTTTTTATAGGAGAACTTGTACTATAATTATAATCAGATTGTTGTTGTTGTTCTTGTTGTTGTTTCTGATTTTGTATTGAATCTTGTGGTGGTTGTATATATGTAATAGAAATAGAGTTTGTCGGTTGCGAAGGCGAAGAAAACGATGAAAACGATGATGATTCGGATGTTTGAACTATTTCCGAAGATGGGGACGAGAAATATGAAGATAAAGGTAGTATTTTTCCTTGCAGCTGACCTATATTGAATTTTTTAATTTTATTTTTGTCTAAAGTAAAATGTTTCAAACAGAAACCACTGCTTAATGTTTTAGTTTTTCTTTTCTTATTTTTCTTTTTTAAACTTTTTATATAAAAAAGTTTTAGAATTAAAGAACACTTTTAATCAATTTGTTTGTTTCATAGTGTAAACACTTGCATAAGAATTTCATAAATTTTATTTTTTTTTTAATATTACTTTTGATTTTTCTTTTAATTATAGTTAGAATTTTATTTTCAAAAAATAATTTAATCACAAACTTTATTTAACTGGAATTATAAAAATTTTTCATTATATTAAAGTAAAATTTTTGTTTTATTTAAATAAATTAATTTTATAATTATTTTACACCATTTTTAATATTTTTTAAAAATTTTTTTAATATGCATAAATTTAAAAAAAAAAAAAATTATTCTATAACAATGAATTTATTACTAATTGTACAAAAATAAAAGAAAAAAAAATTTTTATAGAAAAAAAACGCTGTTTCTGCTATAAAAGATTTTTCCTAACAGCGTGTTTTGCGACTAAACTAATTTAATTTTATAACGGATATCTGGGGTAATTTTCCTTTACATTCTTCGATTTTTCGTTTAGAGATTTCTAAAGATTTTTTTCTATTTTCTCGATAGAAATTAAAACGATAAATAAATACACGCGAAGCAAAAAGTAAAAAAAATTGAGAGAATAAATATTTGCATGAATGATGAATTTTATGTGTTCAATAGCGAGAGACAAACACGAAATATTAAATAATTTGAATTTTGTATTTTAACTAAAAAGAAAAAGAATAATTTTTTTTCTCTATCTACATCTATAAAATATACATGTATGTATGTACAAAAAACATACACAATGCCTTTATTTATAATAATTTTTAAGGATCATTCACATTTTTATATTACTTGCGTTACGGATGATGAGCTATTACTCGTAAGATACGATAGATAATAAAATGTTTTCATAATTAATTATTTTTCAATTTATTGGCCTTATGGATCAACTGGTTTAATCACTTATATAAAATACAATTAAAAATATTCGGATGAAAATAATTATTTTCTGATATTTTCTTTAAACTTTATGTTTCCTAAACGAGTGTTCTTCAAACATTCTCTTAATATTCTAATTTTATTGCATATGGCTAGGAGAACAATAAAAATTCAAAAGGATTAGTTAAGAACTATTAGGGAAAAGAATAAACTAAAGTTTTTGTACTACACTTACCGTTTCTTATAGAAATAGCAAAAAATTTAAATTTGAAGATGAGGTGGACCAAGAGCTTCGAAATCAGAAAAAAAGAATTTGGGCAATGAACAATATATTTCATACTGTTATAATTTAACCCTTAAGGGGCAAAACAAAAATGAAAAGCAAGTTAAGTTGAACAGCTATCTGTAGCATTTTGCTTTAAAATAACAAAAAAAATTTCTGATTTCTAAACAATAAGCTGACAAAAACTAACATATTTAGAGTTTTGAGAGAGTGTAAGACCTTAATATACTTTATTTTAATAGTTTCTTGTGGATTTAAACATAGAAAATAATTATCGTTTATAGAGGAAAAAATTTTTATTTGAAAACCTAATATTGTGCATGAACCTGTTCTATTTTCATTAATTTGTTTCATTTTTACCGATGATATTTAAATATTACAATAAAAGTAAGAGTAAAATTCAATTTCTGCCTTAATTTTTTTCTCCTTTACACTTTATAAATCTAAGTTTTAGGACTAATAAATTGGATTTAAATTTTTATTTTAACAATATACAAAAGTATTTAAGACAAAAATACTATAGGAATCTATCGATATAACGAATCTTACACAATACTCATTTGCGTCTCAAGTTTTTGTGGAACAGAAAAGCAAACAAATTAAAATAAGTTTATTATGTAAATCGGAACATAAAACAGTGAATCCCTTATAAATATAAATTCTTTTCTTTGCATAAAATGTAATTTTTGGACTATTTATTGTAACTAAACCGTAAAAATTTTTTGAATTCTGTAAACGCAGAAAAGTAGTGGCTGACTTCTTCTATCTCGACATAGCATAGTTAACTTTAAAAGAACAAAATTAACGTTAAAATCAACCGTTATCTAAAATCCATTTTTGAAAATTTCCGATATCGCGTTACTCATAGACGATAAGTTGTTGGAGCTTAAAATTTGAAATGGAGCACGTTTTAGATACTAATAAAAAGTTTATATCGTTATAAAAGAAAATCAAGTCTCCCCCCCTATCCCTTCACGAATTATCGCCTCATAAAATTTGTAATCAAAAATTTTCAATTTTTGGCAATATTCCCGGAACTACAACCTTTTATAAATTTCTTAAAAGCTGGGAAGCTATAGGTTCCATCGAAAATAAAATTTGTCTTAACTCATGCAATTAACCCTTGAATTCGAGCATTATATTAACGCCTCAACGACTTTCTTGTTTTTATTTTTAAAATCATGAATTAAAACGCTTCTTAAGGAAAATTTCCTTCACGTTCTTGAAAAAACAAAAAAAAAAAAACTCACTAAAATTAAAAACAAAATGAAAAAAAAAATAAAATCAAAAGTAAATTTTGGCAAAAATATCATTATACCCCTTTCGTTATTGTCTTCGGAAAATCAAGAAAATGAAAAGGCAAAGAATTTAATTAATTAAAACTCGTTTAAGTATTTTTATGTGATGACGGCTACTTTCAAGGGGAATCAAGTTTTTCAATTTTCCTTGAAATTTTATTTTTTTTTTGTTAGATACACATGCACATATATAACATATTTTTTGTGTTTTTTTATCGTATGTATAGATTTTCTTATATTTTTACGTTTCTGTTATTTTTTTTTGTTTATTCGTGTATTTTTAACATTTTGCTAAGTTTAACATAAAATTATTTTAATTTATTTGTAGATAACATACAATTATTTGTATAATACATACAAGAAATACATATCTACATATTATTCGCACTTTCTATGCTGTACATAAAAACAAAGAGTTGGCTTTATGTTTCACATAAACAATAGGTGGAAAATTGAAAATTTTTTAGTGAAAATCCAAATAGATTTTTACTTCAAAGTTCAATAAATTCTCATATTTAAATGTTGTTTTAATTTTCTCTTATTTTTGTTTTGTGTTATTCAATTCTTTTGGTTTTTTTCGTGTTTTATTCTCTTTTTTTTTTTTTTTTGAATACGTTTTATATTATTTTTTCTAGTTATTTGAAAAGTAAGTGAAAATCTTCGATTTGTTTTGTTGTGAATGAATATTAAAAATTAAATAAAACGAGAAAGAATAGAGTTGACCGTGACTACTCTGTGATACCCGTACGAATTTGTTATCCTATGTGTGAGTAAATATGCCGTAGGCGACTATAGGACAGACTATGACTTTAAGTAGCCATAATACCATATTAATTTACGTAAAATTTCAGTACTGTGTTTTTCAAAATACTGTGTGTGCCAAACTACTATTGAAGTTGTATGCCAGCTACCAGAAAGAGCCAAGAAATTTTAACGAATTTTATCACACAAAACAGCCCTAATAATACTGTTGTTCACACGAAATTTCTATATTATAACTCCCATAACTTTTGAGATATTGCCAAATATCTTTTGGATTTGTATTGCAGCTATCACAAGTGCCTATGAGATCTTAACAACTTTTAATGAATATTGTTGCCATTTTTGCAAATTTTATTTTACAAAATTTTAGTGTTTTTTTCATTGAACAGTTCTTAAGATATAGCCAAATAAATTTCGAAGTTGTATGGTACCTACCAGAACCATTGCCACGATCATATCCAATTTAAATAGGGTTTTGGCAATTACTACAATAAAACATTTCTGAAAATTTGGTGAACTTAGCTCAATCAGTTTTTAAATTATCGTAAGAACGGATTGACAGACACCGATAAATCGACTCAGAATTTGACAATGAGTTTATATCTCAAATATAACATTTCTTAGCGTTCAAGTTTTTAATGTTTTCTTTTTGCTAGTTATAATCGTGACCAAAATCAATACTAAAATAGCCTTATTAATTACTGTTTTAAAATAAAACTATAATATGTTTTGTGAGAATGCAATTTAAATTTTTTAAAACAGACAATATTGTCCTAAATAATATGGAATTTCTCATTTCCGATTCGTTTAACTTATATAAAAAATCTATAAGTTACTAAGATTAAAGGACATAAAAAATATATAGAAACTGTTATATAAAATAAATTCATTAATTAACCTATATATTATCGAGTAATTAAAATAAAAGAGAACACATTTCCTCTATAAAATATGAGGAAATTTTCCACTCACATAAATATTTTTCAAAATATTCAATTAAAATGGGTGAAAAATTTTCCATTTCATTTTGTGTTCTGTTTTCTCTTAAAACATTTTGGTGAATTATTTTCAATTGTATCTGTACTGTAGCTATATACTTGCAATACTTATGTAAATTGTGCTAACTTATAAGAATAATTTCCAAACGAAATTTCTATTTCGAATGAAAATCTTAATGTTTGCCGGATATTATGCAATTATTACTTACTCGTAGTTCTAATTATATATTTACTATAATATTCATTACAAAAATATAACAATACCAAATTGTTGTATTATACTTCGGGTATTGTATATTATTTTCTTGTATGGATATATAACAACCTGTATGTAGATATTAAATTAGTAGCTTAATATTTTAAGTAAAAATATTCCATAACATTAAGAAAATTTTAGTAATTTGTTGAAAAATAAAAAAGGTACACCAAACAAGAAAAAAAAATTGTTATAAAGTGATGAAAAACAAAACAGAGGGAAAATATTTTTCATATGACTAATTTACATACAAACCTGATACAAACTGAATGAAAAGAAAAAAACGAAAATTAGAAGAAAAAAAAATGAAAAATTACCTTGAATTTTACATTGAAGATTTTATTTTTAAACTTGACATGAATTTCATTTCTTCTCTTTTTTGTTGTTTCTTATTTTTCCCTCGATTTTTCGCGCTAATTTTCTTTTTATATCTTATTTTAAATTTTATACATAGGAAATGTTAATTTTTCGTCTAGGAATTCCAATTTGTAGACCTGCCTTATTCAAAAAATTTAATTAATATTTTATTTTTATATTTTTACAAAATTTGTTTTATTTTTTTACCGACAAATGCACATACATATGTACATAAAGCAATGAATATAAAATAAAGAAAAAGTTAATTTGGAAAATTTTTAGTTCATCAAGGTTCCAAAAATATCATAAATTTACTGTGAGGATTATATGTTTACGTTTCTGCAGTTGTACTGTATAATATAGGGGCCTCGGTCAAGAAACTTAGAAGGTTATTAAAACAAATTTAAATAAAAATAAAAGTAAAATTTTTTTTTTTCTATAAATTTTATTCGCGAAGGCAAAAAATCATTAAATTGAATTGTTATAATTTTTTTTTCCTTTTTATTTATTTAAAAAAAAAATGAACAATAAATTTATTAAAGCATGTTAATCATATAAAAAGATTAAAAAATTAATTAAATTTTACCTAAACGTGTGCTAAATTATTTGATTTTTTCTTTAATATCAAGGAATTGAATACAATTATAGGTATATAAAATTATATGTTCTAATAAAATAAAGTAGTTTCCTAGAAAACATGCTTTTTTTTTGTTTGACCTAAATCTTATTTCAAATATTTATTTTTCGAATGACATGTCATTTTCTAATGTATTTTAGTTTTTTAATTTAATTTTACTCAATAGTTTTATTGAAAACTATATGTATACATATGTTTTTTAAAGCATCCCTGATTTACTTTACACAAATTCGCGAAAACTAATGGCATAATTTTCAAAATATTGTTTTCATTTTAAGCATTACATTGAAACCGTTAACAGATTTTTGTGTTGATTTAAAAAAAAAATTAAATTTCGGAAATGTTAAAAAAATATTAAAAATTTTTAATATTTCATTAAAATAATATGTAAATAATATAAAATTAAATATATACAAACATATTATGTACTTTATTTATAATACAATTTTTATTATACAAATTTTAGTTTGGCATATATTGGAAGGGGAACTGCTGCTGCAACAGCGACTGGAAATAAACAAAATCATGAAAGTGAACTTTATTGTATCATTTGTGAGCTTTTTGGTGTAGTTGAAAGTTATAAACCAAAATTAAAATCATCATTGCCTTCAGATAATACTGAGAAATCTATGAAATTAGATACAACTTCAGATAATAATGAAAAATCTAAAAGTAAAACAAAACTTGAGAATGAAATTAAATTTAATAAAAAAAGACAATCCTCAAAATCTACAAAAAATTCATCATAAAATTATTTAGTGTCTATAAAAATTTATCTATAAATGATTAATTTATCATTTTTGTTGGTTAAATTACTTTTGTATTTTATTTTTTGTAAACCTATACATATTAGTTTTAGAGCACTTTTGCCTTTCATATAAATATATATATATACATATTTAAATACATATTTAACGTTTTTTTTTTTAAATTTTTAATAAAATTGTTTTGAAATAAATCTTAGTGTAATATATAAATATATTTATTTTTGTTAATATACATATATAAATACTTTAATAAAATTTTAGTATTTCAGTTAATTAAAATGTTCTTTAAATGTTTTTTAGAAGACTGAAACTGTGGAGAATAGTGGTAATAAGTTATATAAAATTAAATTTTCTTATGCAATCAACTACCCATACCTACATATATTGAAATCCTTTTGCTGCTCCCGAGTTAGTTGTTGAAATGTAAAATAGATAAAACTTTGGCAATAAATAATTTTTGACAACAGCTCCTGTACATTACACAAAAATAAAACGTTATAATTTTACTAAAAACTAGATTTAGAGGTAAAATTCCTATAAAAATTTTCTTTCCAATTTATATTATGACAATTTTTTAATAATTTCATTATTTCTCTTATATTATATATAATATTTTGCAATTTAATGAAATCTTAAATTAATTCTTTATTCATTTTCGCTGCATAAAATCTAGCTCTTGCTTCTAATGCTGCCCAAGTTATTTTTATCAGTATTTCATCGGCTTTTATTTCATGGCAATATCTAGAAATGTACATACATATACACTAAGTAATAAAATAAAGTTTTTTATTAAATTTTTTGGAATCCAAATACCGTATTGAAATCAGTGAACAACGAAATATTTCAAAAGTGTTCAATGTTAAAATTAACCTATTTCTAGGTTGAATAGGAACCAAATCAACAAAAAAACCCAAATAATTTAAAATTTCTAAAAAAATCCAAAAAAAAAAAGTTCAATTGAATAATTACATATTTCTAAATTTTGAAATGTTTGTAAATAAATTATACTTACCTTTCAAGTGAAATAGTCTATTTGGTCTATGTGCCCAAACATCTCTTATATTAAAAGGTCCATACAATAATTTAATCTGATTCATTTTAAATTTTTATTCAGTTTTGCTTCGTACATAAAAAAAAATTCTGAACAAATGATCTAAAGTTTTTGTAGTATAAATTTAAAGTACAATTTAAATTTTAAATAAATTTTGATTGGCAATAAAAAAATTGGTTTATTTTGTTTTCATGTTTTAAATATTAGAAACATAAAATAATAAAATACCTTATAAATTTACTAAAATTTAGTCATAATACTAATAATACAACAAATATAAATAATACTTTATGGACATTTGACGCACTTGATCATAATTTCTTTTGTATCTGTTTCATAAACAAAGTAATATGTTCTTTTATTAAACTTTATTAAAAAAATAATCTGTAATTATAATATTCAATTAAAGATTTCGTTAATTGTAAACTTTAACGTGCTAACTTACTAGCTAGTCATAGCTAATAAATTAAAAATTTGATATTTTTGAACTTTGAGATTACTTACCGGGTAATGAGGAACTGTATTAGAATCTTGTATTCTTATAATGTAGTTTTCGATTAAGAATGGAATACTTCGTTATTCACCACTTAATAATTCCGCTTTGAAAGGTGATATATTAGACGATATTTTAATGCTTTTTACATGAAATATTAAGAAAAAATAAGAAATTCTAATTGAATATTGGTGAATTAGGTCTTTTTAATATTATCATCATATTTTAAAAATGACATAGGCACCAAATTAACAGCCTGATCGAGTGTCTAGCTACTTCAGTCACTTTTTTTTTCTCTTTTAATTTAGAATTCTCACTTTTTTAATTGGATATGGCATTTTTCAAATGAGATTATTCACTTTTCCAAAAAGATTTCCATTTGTAACCAAAATATCAACAGAGCTTGTCGCGTTAAAAGAGAAAATGTATAAAAAAATATAGAGAAAGTTTTGTATTTTGAAAAATACAAGTTACGCAATGCGAAAAAAATCTTCGAACTAGAAAATTACATTATTGGAATACAATATGATACTTACACACGATATCCTTTCTCACTTTGCGAGTAAAAAAACCTTGTGTCTAATACAAGCCGCTGATTAGAATTTAGAAGTTTAAAAAAATGTCAATTATAGAGTCTAATTAATCGAACTAATTAGTTTTTTTAATAAGTAAATATTTATAACCAATAAGAATAATTTCCTGTTTTGGAAGAAATGCAAAATTTATTTTGAATTTATACAAAAATTATTATTTTTTACAGTCATTTATTTTCTTTTTAAGCATACATACAAAAATGTATAAAAAGTAGAAAAGAACTATAATCGTTATAATATATGTTATATAATTTAATACAATTGCTTATGAGTTTACAGTTCTAAAGTATAGATAATAAGGAATAAAATTACCTAATATTAAATTATCTTTATATATTTCTTATTATATTTTTAAAATTTTATGCTACATATTTCTATAAAAATGATTAAAGAATGTATATTTTGTAATATTTATAATGTTATAGACACATAAAGTAAACTATAAAATGAGTATTTTTATATATTCAAACAAAGTGTACTAAAAAATAACATAAATGTAAATTTTTACTTCATAATCAGGAAAAATAGTCATATGAATCGTTGAAGAAGTGAAAAACAGCCTTGCATGCACCACATTAAAGAATATGAAATTTGATAAAATCTTAAAATTACAATTTCAGAAGGTTGTCTGCATAATTTTGTAAACTTGTTTTTAAACAAATTTTTAAAATTTATTAAAATATGATGTTCGATAATGGATGATATTTCGAATTACTAATAAAAAACCAATTTTAAAGCTGAATATGAAAAACAACATTGCTATTCATTTCATTTACAAAAAAATATGATTGCTACTCAAAAACAAAATTATTTTAATCCTACATATAATTTCAAATATTGGTAGATACTTGTAAAGAAATCCTTCTGACAGCTACATTAAATTTCGATTCAAATGATTATGATTTCTGATTTTTTTTCTTTTCTTAATTTAAAATTGTCCCTAACTATAGAATCAAATTTATATATGAGTGTATTTTTTTTTGTCTTTATATTTTATTTATTGTGCTTTTTTTATTTTAGGATGATGCTCATCACAGTTTAGAGAAGGTAGTATTTATATAAATTTATTATGTCTATTATGTATTTTTTTTCTTCATGAGGCTGATGATATGTTTGTTTTACAATTAATTTGAAAATAAATGAATTAATGCGTACAAAAACTTAGTACATAACATTAGTTATAAAAGAATTTGAATCCGAATACTAGAATGGCAAGTCGTAAAACATAAAATAATAAAAAACTAAATACATATTTGGGCAAAAATTTTTAAATTAATATAACATAAATGTATAATAGCATTTGTAAAATCTTATGCTTAAATTTTCAACTACTTTTGTTACAAAAATTATATATTCTACTCCAAAAATTGATTTTAAGCTGTAGGTATTTTATACCCGTAAACCAAATTTCTGTATTAGTATTTTAGAAACAGTCTATTTTTACAAATTTTCTTATACATATGTATTATAAAAATTTGCATTTCTTTTAGAAAATTTTTTTTTTATAAAAACTTTTCTAAATTTAAAAATTCTAAATCGAAAAATTTTCAAAAATTCTATTGGAGAATTTTTCAATTAGGGAAAAATAATTATAGCGAAGTATATGTTCGTAATGTATTATATAAGACTTAAATTCTACTGGGCAGTATAAAAACAGGCTTAATAATTCATAAAATATGTTTATACATGAATTAGATGCGAAAAATTTCTCACTTACAATAAATATAGTTTTTATAAATATATTAATTTAAAATGTTTTGTATTAAAATTTACTTAATGTAATTTTAATACATTCTTTTTAATCAATTACTAATGTACAAATTTCCTTATTCGATAGATCTTTTTGTAAAATATAATAATATATAGCTACATATTTTAATTCTTTTTTTTTGAGTTTTTAAGTACACATATTTGGATTCAAAATAGTTTATTTCCCTTTTTTTGTTTTCTTTTAGTTTTAGAATAAATGTTATACTAATATTTGAGTATATTCGTTACCGTTATGTCATACAGAAGTTTCTGAGTTTAATTTAAGAACAAATTTATTACTTTTTGGATCAACAACCTCTTCAGAAATATTGAAATGAGGCAATTTATGAATGGTTACTATAAGTGAAACATCATTTTGAATAAGTTGAAAAGTACAACCAGAACGTATAGGTCGCGATAATAATTCATCACATATTAATGACCAGGATTGAAAGTTACGACGTTCTTTTTCGCTTTGCATTACTGGTGACTCATTTAAATATGGTTCTAAAAATGCTTTTGGTGATAAATCATGTTTTAAGCAATGTGCTAAATGTTTTAAAATGCTTTCGAAAGTATGTCTTGGTTGCTGTCTTGTCACACGTAGATACTTTTGCAAAGCTCTTGCCATTGATGGAAAAACTGCTTGAGCTGCTTCTTGTGGATCTAAAGGCACTGCTGGAGCGGGTTCGTTATGTATTCGTTTTATATGAGTAAAGGCTTCTTCAGCTGCAGTTATTAATCTAGCTCGCCGTTTCTTAACACGTCTTTCATATTCATGTTCTTCATAAAATCTTTCATTATGTGAAGAGTCACGCCGTCTGGCATTTGCAGCCAAAACCGCCCTACTTTGACTTTGTTGCTGAGCTGGATTAACACCATCAACCTCATAATATTTAAAACTAGATGAAATTTGTTTTCTTTGTGATTTTGAAATTGGAATGCGTTCCAAGTATGGGTTATATATTGGAAAATCAATATAATACTTTTGAAGAACCCATACAGCTGCTCTTTGTATACTCAATTGGCCTATGCCGTAAGAACGACTAATTCCATCTGGTGATCTGATAATTCTTATATAATAGTAAGATTGTTGATGACGTATCTCCAGTAAAACAACGGCTGTATAATGGATAAAAAGAAGTGTGTCTACAAAATTTGTTGCATATGACACAAGAGACTTATAATCAACAACATCCCCATTTTCAACTAATATTTTAGCCCCATTTGTAACTTGCACTATATAAAAAAGCCAATAAGCAAAGGTTGAGACAGTAACTAAAAGTAAAACTGTTGCACGAAATAGAAATATTCTCGGCATTGTCGCAATTGGTCGTCTTAAAAATACAGCCCATAAACCAAGAGCTAAAAGAATTAAACGCGCTGTCAAAGACACTAGTAAACCTTTGCACTCACTACTACAAGCCAATAATTGGAATTTCTTTGTTGGCGTTAAATCGTCATTATCGAATGCTGATGGGAAGAATCCTAACTTTGGCATCATTACCATTGCTATAGGTGAAAAAAATGAAACGAATCCCAATGTTAATGAAAACGTTGATTCTATATAACGCTTGCAAGCAAAACCTAAACTAGATTCAGTTTCTCGATTCCAATTGCCATTAATATCCTCCATTGAGATACTTTGTTCAGAAGTATTACCAGTAACTGCTGTAGTATTTTCACCCCAGTTTTCATCTTGTGGTAGTATTTGAACTTCGATTATCTCTTGTCCATCACGGTTTTCGCTATCTAAAATTAAAAAGAATTTTATCATCTACAAAACGGGATTCGTAAGGCATCTAAATGTGTTGAAATTGTAAGACAAAGGGTTACATCTATTTTAATAGTAAAAAAAACATGATAATTCTTGTAGCAAGTACCTACTTTCTTATGAAAATAAGGTGTGCTAGTTAGGTATAACTATTTTTCTATACCTACGTGGTACATACGTACAAAAGAGTAAAATTTTATTACTAAAAACCAAAAAACTTTTTCATGAGAAATAATCCATAAAAAATTTTTACCCACTGGTGTTTAAGCATCTGATATTGAAATTATTTGCTATTGTTTCTATGAAAAGTAAATGTTTCATTCGCTATTCATGTGAACATTAATTGGAAATTATTGAATGCATACAAAATGCATAAAGAAGTTCATAAATAAATATAATATATGTATATGCATGTATGTATGTACTATTTTGTAAGTACATCATTTTGACTTGTATTTCACCCAAACCCGTTTCTTTTATTTTTCGAAATTGCCCTATAAATGAGTTATATTCCAAAGTTTTGATTTTTAACAAATATTTTTATAATTAAATTTCAAAAGATATGATTGCTTATTTGGAAAACATCAAATATAAATTATAATTCATATAAAATAGTACATATATAGGTTTCTTAATCTATCTAAAGAATTATACATAAATATGCATGTATGTACGTATTTCTGTTTTAGCAACAAACTAAAAAAAATCTGTTTTTATTTTACATATACATGTAGATACCTGCATGATGATATGAAGATATCATATTTACATACTTATGTATCTTGGGACCTTAAGTTTTTCTTAAATTATGTACTTCATAAGCTCACCTGTAAGATTGACACTTGTCTGAAAGGGAGCCATATTATCTGTTGTATTATTTCTTTTTGTGCTGCCGCTACCACTACCACTACCTTTTCTGTGGGAATGTCGTGTTCTATTTTGTCCACTATTGCTATTTGATGATCCAAAATTATTTATGTTGGAATTATTTGTATTAGATTGGTATGCTCTTGAGCGTCTAGATCTTCCACTGTGTTCTGACTTAATTGATTCGTTTTCCATATTTATGTAATTTTAAACATTTTTCAAAATAAAAATTGATATTTTTGAGTAATTAAAACAAAACACAAAACTCGTAATGAAGTTCATTGAACAGCAAAATTTTATAAATTTTACGTATGTATTTTTGCAAAAATAAATTAAAATCAAAGGTGAATTTTCTTTCATAAAAGTTTTACTACGGTTTATTATTTTATTTTTAATATGTAAAATGTGCACATTTTATTATTTCATAATTTATGAAAAATTTATTGGAAATTATTTTACACTAAAATCTTTTTTCAATATAATTATTGTGATATGACAAGACAAATCGACTTCACAACGCAACCACTAACACAAATGACAAAATTTACCAATGTTTTGCTTCTGCTTCAATTTGCTTCAACTCTTTTCTTCCCTTCAACAGAATTTTGCAGAAATTGACAATCAACAATTTTAATTTTGTCTGCAATGATTTCGCCGAAAATCTTAAAATATATTGCCATACACGTTATGCTTGTAGTATATACACTACATATTCTTATTACTCTAATTTTTAATATTTATAATTTGTTGATTATTTTAAATATATGTATATTTAAAATGAGCCATGAAATTAGGTTGAAAAATGGGAATTTCTGTTTGTGCACCAAATATTATTAATCAGATCTACTGTTTCTTCTTTTCTTACTTAAATAAAAAAATTGCAGTTTATAGAGTACGTTTTGGTTTTTAGTTTGCTCAGAAGTTGAATTTAATTATATTCATTGATTTTAAAAACGAACATTAATTATTTAATAAATTTTCAAATTTGAAATATCAAAATAGTAAATGAGCACTTTTGAAACTGAGTTATTTTCTCGTGGAGGAATTTTGTTACATAACACAAAGCGATAGCTGCAGGAAATCAGAAAAATCTAAAAATATGGCATCTTTGTGTAGGCCGGCGTAGAATGTCATTTAATTTTAAAAATTTTTAGAAGATAAAGGAGGTGTTTATTTTGGAAAAAACAGGAACGTACAATAGGGTACGTTTGTTTTTTTAATTTTATTTTGTAGTCACATATTATAATGTCTGATGGTAATAATAGATTCGAAGAAAATCCAAAATCAGAAGAAGTAAGTACCCTTTCATAATTTCTATTTTTGAACATTAGGAAATTTTGAATTACTTAGTTAAAAAAGTGGAGTCATGCTTTAGTTTAGTTTTCAAATATCTAATAATCTAAATGTATTTCTAGACAAACAAACCGCAAAAAAACAACAATACTGAGCCCAAGGATCGTCTCTTAGCTCTCCACAGGTATGTAGTTTTTTTTAATTAAACAAAACTCATAAGCCGAATTTTCCAAACCATTCCATAATTTACCAAAAAAAAAATTAAATTTTTAAAGTTTTATTCTGGATTCATATCTAAATATCTAGGAAGATAGTAAAGGAAAATTAGTTACAATAGGAAAAAACTTTTAAAATACTTATCCATATATTATACTCTAATTGATTTTCTAAATACCTAGCTAAATAAGGTATGCAATTGTTTATTTTTAAATTTTCTGTCAGAAAAAAATACGCAAAATCTTGTATTTTGTATTTCTAAAACGAATAAAATTTCGTTACTAATGATTATTGATTAATAAGCCATAACCCCCTTAATATTTCAATTTCAGTTATCTTACCTGTGAACAGAACATAAGCGTGATCGAAAGGCAAAATCACATAAAACGCATGCAGAATTTGAGAAAGGAACTAAATTTTATTAAAGAAACAGATTGGATGTATGATCAAGTCGAATAGTCGAAAGAAAATCGAAAAGCTACACAATGTTTGCAATAGGCAAGTTTCTAAATTGGTTCACATTGAATCATGAGCAAGTAAAAATTGATGAACTAGAACAGCTTAATAATGAAATTGATGCCGCGATAGAAAGTGATAATGCTAAGAATAACCTGTACAATTCTTCTAAAAAAGCAGATGAAAGTAATCAAATTGAAGAAGACAAGGAAGCTTCTATATGTTTCAAAAAAATAGGTAGGTAACAAGATAACTTATTCATTTTTAATTTCACTTGATAACTCTTTTTTATTGATATGCTTTTAAATTGTAGGTTTAATAACTCAAGTAAAGAGTAATTTTGGTATGATTGACAATTCCTACATGTTTAACATAAATAAAGTTGCCAAAAATTTAGAAGACTTAAAGGTCGGGTATAAAGTTGAATATTTGGCATATAAACCCGAAGGAGAAGATTCGGATTTAAGGATTTGTAAAATTACAGAGATAGTAGAATATCCGTGGGACTCAATTACTACTGAAGAAGAAGTCCGTTATCTCGAAATTACTGTTTACAATTCCTAATAATTTCCCTTATTTTCAGATTAATAAAACTCTTGAAGAATTTCGTTCTGACAAACCAAGGTTTTTTAATCATATAAAAAGAAATGTATTTGGAACAATTACTCAAAAAAGAGATCATTTTATCCAAGTTGAAACAGGTGCTGAATCTGGAATTGAAATTGATTTGGACGTAGTGTCGATTGAATTTGTTCCACAAGAAGGAGATCATGTGGTATTGCTTTGTATTGTACAAAATAATGAAGATTTTTTCGATAATGAATCCAACGTTCTTGAATGTAAAAGTGTTTCATGTGTTTGTAAAAGATCTATTAAAGGCGTAGTTACACTGATTGAATACGATTATGGAGTGATTGATAATGAGGCATATTTTTCATTCGATGTTGTAGATATTGGATATAAAATTGGTCTAGGAGATCGTGTTTCAGCCGAAGTTATTGAAAATGAAGCTGTAAATGACGAAATTTTTTTAATTTAACCTATATTAGATTACAAGTGTAAAACATATTTAAAAATTTAATATTTTCAGATGCATCCGATTAATTTCCGTTGTATTCGAGTATCTTTACTAGAGAAGGCGTCTACTGAATCTCTGCTAAGTAAAAAAAATATTCGAAACCATGAACTGGGTCTAAATAAAAATGGTATTGAAGTCACAGATAAAATGCATTTTAAATTTGAAAAATTGGGTGAAATCGCCACAAAGCATTTAGTGGTCAAGAATACAAGTGATTTCACACAAGAATTGCTTCGATACGTTTTTAAAAAAAATATTTCACAATCGCAATTGAGGCTAAGAAACGCTTCAGAAATACGTGGTAATTTAAGAATAAAGCCGGGATCATCTTTAACTTTCAAAATTAGCGCTAAATCGAAAAGATTTGGCCTAAGCTCGGAAATTTTTGAGTTATATTTTAATGATTTTATAATAACCCGTAATATTGACGTCGAGGTTGGAGAAATAATGGAAGACAATAACGAAAACCAATTAAATAATAACCAGCGTTTTGGAGGAAAGAGTTTAAAGCAAAGATCTTATAACGCTAAATTAAAATGGGATAATATGCAGAAACGAAACCTTTTGCCAGGTATTCCAGTAATTAACAGACCAAGATTTATAAAACAACGTATTCAGTCATACGAAACTCCAGAACGCTTAAAAAATGCCGTTTTGATAGCTGAAAATCTAAAAGATATGGCCGAAAAGGTGGAGGATATATATTCTTCATTAAGAGAAGAATTAAAGCCTGAAAATTACTTTCAAAGATTTTCTGTACTTTTGCATCTTGAAGAAATAGAAAGGTTTATTCAAATGCGTCAATACGATCGCGATAGAGCGCATATGCAAAAGGAACAAGAATATTTAAGTTTAACTATTGAAAATTTGGCTGAAAAAAGGCCGTCTTTAGTTATAGGAGATTCTGTTCACGCTACAAATCCATGGTCTGAGAAGGGCAAAGAATTATCATACCAGGGATATATTCATAAGGTTTTATATAATAAAATTTTAATTAAATTTAATGATACTTTTCATTTAAAATACAATGGAGAAGATTATCGTCTTGAGTTTTTTTTCTCAAGACATAGTTTTCGAAAAATGCATCATTCAGTTAATTATTTGCAATCATGTTTGGGAAATGAATATTTGTTTCCAAAAAAAGTTATTATTAAAAATGAACTTCAAATGAACATTGAACTAAATGAAAATGACGAAATAATTAATCAAGATTCTGGAAAAGTAATACCATGGTTTAACAATAAACTTAATCATTATCAAAAAGTTGCCATTAAAAATGTTTTAAGAGGAGACACTCGACCAATGCCGTATGTTATTTTTGGTCCCCCAGGTATGATAATAATTTTAAAGTGTTAAAATTTGCTTGTTATAATTTTTAATGCACAGGCACGGGAAAAACTTTAACGGTTATTGAAACCATTTTACAATTATTCAAAAACTGCCCTGGGTCCCGCTTATTGGTCGGGACACCTACTAATAGTTCAGCAGATTTGATTGCATCGCGGTTAATTGATTCAAATGTTTTAATTCCTGGTGATTTTATTCGATTGGTTGGACAGAATTTATTAGAAAAAGACTTAATACCTAATCATATAAAACCATACAGCGCGACTCTTGATATTACTCTTGAAGGTACAGCGAAAGAGGAGGTAATTCGAATATTTAATACCTAAGCAAATGCTTAACAATTAATATTTTAAATTTTAGATGTATGTTACCAGTGCTGGTGTGCAAACGAAATGTCGCGCAAAATATTTGGGCAGACATAGAATTATTATTGGCACATGCGTTACATTGGGAAGCTTGTTATACCTTGGCTATCCAAAAACTCAATTTACCCACGTAATAGTTGATGAAGCGGGGCAATGCATTGAGCCAGAAATAATGACCACCATAAAACAAGTTGATGGCAAAAGTGGCCAAATCATATTAGCTGGAGATCCGTTACAATTGGGACCCACAGTTCTACAAAAATATGCTTTGGAGAAAGGTCTTGATGAATCATTTTTGGTGCGATTGCTACACACTCAACCATATTCAAAAGATAAAGTGAGATATGAACATACTGGATACAATCCGGTTCTTATAACTAAGCTAATTTACAATTACCGATCTGTCCCCAGTATTTTGCAAAGTTATAATGACTTGTTTTATGATGGGGAGTTACTCTCATCAATTAAAGCTAACGATAGCAGAGAATTTACCTTGCTAAAAAGTTTAAAAATATTATCAAAGACCTTTGACAAAAAACCAGTTGAACATGGATTAATATTTTATGGAATACGAGGACAAAATCGTCAAGATTTGGATTCACCATCTTGGTATAATGGAGAAGAAGCTTCACAGGTATAATTATAACAATATGAATTAAATTTATTTTAATCGTCAATAAAATTTCAGCTTTTCTTATTTTCCTTGAAACTTCTTAAAGAAGGAATTGAACCGAAACAAATAGGCATTATAACACCATACCAAAAACAAGTCAAAAAAATTCGCAATTTATTTTTAGAATCAGACTTAACAGAACTCCCTAAAATTGGTACTGTTGAAGAATTTCAGGGTCAAGAACGTGATATTATTTTAATATCAACTGTTCGATCAGCTAAAGCTTTAGTTCATGTGGATCTAAAACATACATTAGGGTTCCTACAAAGTTCCAAGAGAATGAATGTTGCAATATCAAGAGCTCGGGCCTTATTAGCGATTTTTGGCAATCCTCATTTGTTATCCTTAGATCCTAATTGGGAAAAATTAATTCAATATTGCGTTTCTAGGAACGCATATACAGGATGTGATCTGCCAACTAGTTTTGATAACAAAATAGAAGAAAGATGATTTTAAATACATACATACATATTTTTTATTTTTTGTAATTTATGTTTTTCTTTTTTTATTTTTTTTCAATTTGTTGTTTTTTCTAAATCTGCGTTGAATAATGGTTGGAGTTTCTCCGGCTTCGAAATTTTTATTTAAATCGTGCTGCAATTTCTCTAAAACATTAGATGGGGCATCGATTTTATTATTCCCTAATTCTGATTTGTGAATGCTCTTTTTAATTATTTCCTTTCTTTTCTTGTCTTTGATGTCATATTGTAAATATTGCAGTGCTTTTGTATATTCATTAGCATATTCTTCTTCAATTTTAGACTCAACTTTGATTTCCTCAGTTATAAATTTTCCAGCATCCGCCAAAACATTCTGAATTAGAATTGAATTAAGAACAAATAGGAAAATCTTACATATTAAATTTCTTACCTTAAATTTGTACTTTTCGTCTTCAGATAGCAATGTAATTGCGGTACCTAAGCGTCCAGCCCCTAAAATAATCAAATTTAGTAAATTATTCTGCTATTAAGAGTTTTTACTTACTTGCTGTTCTTCCGATTCTGTGAATATATGTTTTTATGTGCCTGGGTACATCGTAAGATATAACAATGTCGACAAGCGGAATATCGATACCACGTGCTAGCGCATCCGAACAAATTAAACTGAAATATTAAAGATTTTTAGCTACTTTCATTACCAACAATTACTTTAAAAAAGAAATATTCAAATATTTCACCCTTTAATTTTTCCTTTTGCAAATAGATCTAATACTTTATTCCTTTGAGAAGCTGTTAGAGAAGCTGACAATTCGCGTATGTATTTTTGTTTTCCAAAAAAGTAATCTAAAACTTTAGAAAGCCTGTAAGCTGAATCGACACTGTTTGTAAAGCATAAAAATTTGTTCCAACAGTTTTCTTTTATTAAAGCGAAAAGTGTTAAGGGCTTTAAAGGCGTATCAGTTAAACATATTTTTTCCGTAAGCTCTAATGGAGTTGTATACTTCCCAACAAATTCTCCGCGAACATCTTTTGCATGGTTTTTTTCACCATTAGTAATTTGCGATAACCCTTCAACAAGCTTTTCTATAGGGATAGTCACCGTTGTGAACAATTTCGGTTGAAATAATTTTAAATTGATCAACTTTTCTGGATCATGTGATAAAGTAGCTGAGAAAAGCATTTTATGTGGTTGGTTTGCCAAATTTGTCATTAGTTCCTGAAGGCATAACGGTGCTGATGTGCCAGAGAAAAACTCGTCAGATGTTTTTCTAACATGCTCATTTAAATGATACAACCAATTAAAATGAATTTGTTCCATTATACGATCAGCCTCATCGATTACTATAAATTTTAAATCCTTTAAGCAGAGTCCTTTAGTAGAGTGTAAATGCTCTACAAGTCGCCCAGGGGTTGTGACTATAATATCAGCTTTTGAATAATAGTTTCCATCATAAAAATCTAGAAGTAGCTGTTGCTCTTTAATAAAAGGTACACCTTTCGAAAGTAAACGGATAGATAACACGGTTTTATCAGCAAGAGATTTCAAAACTTTAAAAATTTGCAATGCTAATTCGTTTACTGGCAGAATAACAAGTGCTCTAGTTTTCCGTTCCACGCGATTCATAAGTAACTGAATTAAAGGTATAGCAAAGGCTAACGTTTTACCACTACCAGTCGGAGCAGAAACACAAATATCTTTAGGCTTAAATGGAAAGGGTTTAGAGTGAGCGTTAAGTATTGAAGGCACAACTTCCTTTTGAACCGGAAACAATCTTGTAATACCCATTTTTCGTAAATTTTCTTTTATTATTGGTGATAAATATTCCAAATCTTCTATTGATTCGTTTTCATTTTCTTCCAAAATGTTTGTACTTATCACAGTCGGATGTGCCAACCATGGGGGTAATACCATATTTATTTTTTGCTTTTTTTTAAAAACATCATTGCCCAAGATCTGAAATTCGTTTTCAATATTTTCATCTTCCTTATTTTCATTTATGTTATTGGCATTCATTTTTTCACTATTTCCATTTTCTTCATGATTAGAAATTTGATGTTCTGTCGATTTATTTTCGGATATTTCATAATCAATTTTCTGGTGCTCTTCTGTGATATCTTTTGATTCAACTTCTAGCTTTCTTTTCTTTGCTTTTTTCAACAATTTTTTCAATAGTTTATTCTCATGATCATCATCAATTTTATTTTCATCAAATCTGCAAGTTGAAGATGAATGAATAAAATTTATATTTTAATATCTTAAATTTACCTTGTAACCGTAAATAATTCCATTTTATAGTTGAGAGCTTTTTTTCTTTTTCAATTACAAGTTACCACTAAGAAACTAACAATTTAAAAAATAGAAGCAATGAACACGTTGTGTTTTGTTTATATTATCAGCTGTTTTGACGTTACTGATTTAAGGTAGTTTTCTTGCAGGGCTGTTCTTATTTTAAGTTCAGCAACTCACAAACATAGCGAATTTGAACGCTTCCAAATAGATTTTTTAATCGAATAAGAAATTCTAATGCAATTGTTGTTTCAGAAGACTTATTTATATTTATATTTATTGTAACAAACGACTTCCATGTTAATCAGAAAAAGATCTATAAATAGCCTTATAATAGAAAAACGTAAAGTAGGTAAACAAATGTAATCACAATGATACGAAAATCTTATGTTAAGGAAAAGTGACATTAAGAATTTTAATAAACTGAGCGAAAAATTATGAAGTTATCAGTAAACAAGTAGTATATGCCAGTAAATTATGAAAAATCTTTAATCAGTGTTGTATTAACGCTGATGCCATTAACGCTTTAACACAATTTGCAAATCCAATATTAAATATTAGCAATGTTCTTTTCGTGGTTTATCAATTTTTGCCTTATGTTTTGGGTTTATAAATTTTTTGAAATTTTTCAATTGTTGCCTTTCTTTGTTATCTTGTGTTGCAATTTTGATCACTTCATATACCACAATGAGCAAAACAAAATAATTCGTTCACGATGATTTTCACTAAAAAATTTCTTCACGATCTATAAATATACCAGCTTTTCATTAATTATTTGAATATTTAGTAAATTTTGTTAATATTAGACAGAAAAAACAATATTTAGAAAAACAATATCATACCAGGTAAATTATAACATTACAATTCGGATGAATTTAGTTTCAAAAATTTTAAATATAAAATTCTACAAACAGCCAGAGATCGGAAATGTAATAATACTGTAGTAAGGCAGAATTCAGCTTATAAATGCCAGTTGCTGAATTGCGTATTACGGTACTATAATAATTCCGATGTCAGGGATTATATGTGAAAGGTACAAGGACCAAGTCAATTGTCTAAAAAGCCACAAAAAATGGAGAAAAATACTGAAAAAAAAAAAACAAAAAAAAAATTAAACGTTTACCTAAATAATTTGATGTTTATTATATGTTTGTGCAATTATCAAAAAAAAAAAAAAACAATTATGTTATAAGAAAAATTGTGCATATTACATATTTTTATGGCTGCGATCATATTCAGGTCTTATTTACATACTTAGAACTCACTACGATAGAACTAAAAACTAATAGTATTACAAGGCGTAACGAATGTTGGTGCGAAAAAATAACAAGCCAAATAACGCAAATATTCCGTGACTTCCATCACTTTTATTACATGCTCTGCTTTTATTTTAGGTTTTACTGAATGTTTGATACATTTTATAATAGTCTACAATTTCAACAGCTTTTAGTACATGTTTTGGAATAAATTATACGTTATCACTGCTTTTTAGAAGTCAAGAATTGTCAAAGTAAGAATAAACAAACAAATACTAATTTTATGTTGCAAATTCTAAAAGTTTTGGAAAATGAAAAAAAAAATTCATTTTAAGCAATCGTCTTAACCCGATTCGGCCCAAATATATTTGAAAGCTGTACATCAAAATTAAAAATACCTTGGAAAATAATATTAGTAGCCATAAGGCACAAATTCCTTTAAATAGTTGCTTGATGGGACGAGCATACAGAATGTGAAAGTTAATTTGCACCATCACTTTTTTAAGATTTGCAAAAATTTGAATAAAAATCGGATAATGTTGATTGATGAATATTAGAAAATTTGGTGACAATGGCAGTGGGTATGAATTTTAGAATAATTTACTTTAAAAATTAATAATGATTAAAAATGATTAAAAATTAATAATGTTTTTTTTGTTTTGTTTGTAAGTTAATTGAATTATTATTAAGCAGCTATAGTAACAAAATTTTGGTGCATACTTTGTCAATTGTCTTATACAAACATACACGATATATTGTACATACTTATGTTAAGTTATAACATATTTTGAAGTTCAGCTTCAAAAACCACCACAAAACTTGCTTTGATTTTATAAGCGTTTTCTAATATAATAGCTAGTTCCAGATGCTGAAATGCGACTTCAATATACCGTGCGTGGAATTATTTATTTATTTATACTTTTATAATTGTAAATATTATAAGTAGGTATGTACGTAATATTGTATGGAAAGATAAACTGAATTTTACATGTGTATATATTAATATACATATGTACATACTAAGTTATAATTTTAAAAAAACCTGAAATTAAATCAGATCAGGAATTTCCAAAAACATTTTTAGAAGAGTAATAAATAAATGCTTTTATTAAGATATTTAAATTTTCACAGGAAATTGTTTGAGCCTTTGAATATTTATTTAATTTTTTTGTTATTTAAAAAATACTGTTTAAGTTCTAAAATTTTGCGGTTAGAAGTGTTGAGTCACTAATAATATGTTTAATTCTGGTTTAATCCAGTATAATATGTAGCTACTATTTTAATTAATTGTAATATATTTTTTTTATGTTAAAATTAAAATACATATATAGTTATTGTAATATTTTCGCTTTTCAATTTGAAACCTTAATCACCTTAAGTAACATTTAACTGCTTTTCATTCTAGAATTGAATATGACTATGATATTTTGCTTTTTTTTATTTTTACCACAATTAATGTTATTTTTTCGTGTTGGTGAAATTTTTATTTAATGGTGTAAGACTATCTATAGTAGGTAGGTTCTTTTATTCATGATATAAAAATTTTCTCTTTTAATCAAAAGGTCATATTATCTGAAACGTTTTTGAGATAGCGCAAGTTATTATTTATTCATTGCGCTTTATTGCAGATATTAGTATAAATACATATACATAAAGCATAATGGCCAAACATTATTATTATTGGAAAATAAAATGTTACAATATTAAAAATTACAATCTTAAAAAAATTACAGTATTAAAATATTAAAAATTGTTAAAGATGTTCTTAATAATATTTGTGTGTGAGTTGCGAGCCGATTACTCGTTCTTACCTCCTTCGAATTAATTTGATAGGACACTTAAAATTTGTAACGTACGTTAAAAAATGTAAACAAAATTTTCAATAGGAGTTCTGTAATTAAACTCGTTCTAAATATTTTTAATTTATGTAAGTAATAAATTTATTCTCCTTAACAAATGTGATTTAGTTATATAGTTATGTTTTTACGACATTCGTTTAAAATATCCGTAAAAAGTTTGATGATACATACATATTGACAATTTTAATTCATACTTGAATTTAATAAATTATCTAATTATTACATACACACATCATTGTATGTTATGTGATTCATTTTAGGTATACAATATTAATCATTGCGATGAAATGTGTATTAAGAATTATTTTTTAAATGAAGTTCTTAGAATCAGCTATTGATATGTACATAATCTATTTAAATCTTTAATACCAGTCTTTATCAACATTCTATTAGTTTCAAAACGATTTTTTTGGTTAAATGTCAGTGATTGCATTGTACTATTTTATACAGATATTTTTCAAGTCCTTATTATTTTATTATTCATATACTAATATCGTGATTGAGTATTTCAAAATTAATTGTAATTCTGCACAAATAAATTTAACTCGTATCTTAATTGTTTTAGGAACAGGATTAATAAAATCAATTTTATTTTTAAATTAAAATTTCAATTTGCGAAAAATTTTTTATGTATAAAAAAATCTACTTAAATTAACATTATGTAGTTATATGAATATGTAATTAAAGGTTCATCTTTCTTTCTCAAAATATATGAATGATTTTCATTAAAAATTAAAATAGAATAAGAAAAGAACTTTTCGAATGACAGAATCTTTTTTCAATTTAAGATTATAAGTTTTAAGAGATTGGAATAATTGGGTTGGTCTCTTTTATTTCAAATATTTTAATTAATTTTCTGAAATTTTACTTCAATATCCTTTTTGTTTCTTTAAACACCTACATTTAAATTAATATTCAAGGTTTTATAACAATTATAATTAAGAAATTAAATGTAAGTGTTCTTAATGTTATCTTAATCTTAGAAATTTAAATTGACTTTAATGGTTTCTTTAAGGTTTTTATAATAAGTTCTATTTTAAATCAGTTTGACGGTTTGATAACTTTTTTGAAATTTAAATTGCGAAATCGCGCAATTGAAAAACTTTAAAATTAAAGATCATTAAAGCACATATAATTATTATTTATAACAGCGGAATAACAAACAAAAGAGAAAAATTAAGTAAAAAATTAATAAAACTCGTTATTTTTTTTTTCTTACTATCTTTTATAAATAGAAGGAGTTTTTGGTGTGATGAAACTATTCACCTGAAACTTTATTCCTTTTCTCAGATATTCAAACAATTTCTGATTCTTTGAAATTACAAAAAAACTTTTTTATTAATAGTATAAAACTTGTGATTAAGCATTACCTAAGAATTATAAAAAAAATAAAGTTTGTAATAGGATTTTATTACTAAGAGCACAAAAAACAAATATTTTTAGTTTTAATTTTTTTCCTTCTTTTATTTAAATGAGTTGACAGTGTTCTTTTGTAAGCTTTTCTAATTAATATCACTTAGGCACTTGACTTTTTTTAATTGATCTTGTGGTATAAAATTGATATGGAAATCAATATATGTATTTAATCAAAACTGGTTAATCAAATATATAAACATTAAGAAAATTCAGAGTTGGTCTTTGCGTTATCGTATTTTAACAAACAAATACAAAAGTTCATAGCATAAAGCAAGTAAATTAAAACTATAAATATTTTGAGCAAATTGGAACCAAATTCTTTGAGGTAATTTTCCAATGGTCCAAAAAAAAATTTTTTTTTTTATATAGTTAGAACAAAAATGTAATTAGATAAAATAATTCAATATTAATAGAATTTTTCGGTAAGAATTTTTCTAAATCTTTAAAATAGGATCATTTATTATTTAATTATACAATTAAATATAACATAATATTATTGGAGTGTAGAGAATTTAATTACATGCCAAATGATTTTGATAAATGAAGTGATTTTTATCAAATTTTATATTTATAAATTTTGTTGATCATTGTCAATTTTAGTTTATTTGTTTTTTTTTTTTTGTATTAGAAAATCAGGAAATAAATTGCTGCTTGTTCTAAAAAAAAAAATTGAGTTAGAAACTTTTAGAAGAGAAATTTAAGAATTATTTTTTGAGGTAATTATTGAAAGCGGTTCTTTATTAATTGTAAATAATTGTAAATGTGATGTTTTTTGTAAATTTTGTAAACACCAGTGGTTAGAACGTGTAACGAAACTTAAATTTGGTAGACATTTGAGCCTGATTGTAAAATTTTGTTAAAAAAATTAACATTTAACACATTATTGATCTAATTACAATTATTTTGTACCACTTGCTCGACAAACTAATATTATCAAATCGCTTGATTTGTGAATTTATTTTAATAACTTTATAAATTATAGATAATAATGTTATGCAACAAAAATAATGGTCAGTTCAATTATGCAGAACTAAATAGATTTTCTTTGATTTGTTTAAAATTTCATGAAAGATTAATGTGTTAATATCTGTGTATTTTGCACGGATAAATTTAGGTTTTTTTTTTAATTTTTAACCTATGACTCTTCATTTTAATAGAATATAACTTACGCTTGTCTTTATAACAGTCAATAACAATATTTTCCTAAGAACGTTTATTTAAAAAAAAATTAATTTTATTCAAAATTTAATAATATGTAAATTTTAAAAATTTGCCTTAGAAAATTAAAAGGTAAAGAATTATTATTAATAAATAAAAAATTTCTTCTTTCAAAAAAGTCACTAACTTTTAAATAAACACGTGAATGAGTCAAGGGGATTTTACCTTATATTACTGTTATACTGATTATAATAGTATGTTATGCATACAACAATATACATATAAAAAAGAAAGTAACTTTTCTATACATATAGGTATAAAATAACATTTACAACAGATTTTTGTTTCATTTTTTTTTTGGTTTTTAAAGGTAAGTGATCTTTCCGAGTTATATTGTGCGATTTGATCAAGTTTTATTGATATAAACTATATAAAGAAGATGACGTACTATAAGTATACGTTTATAAGAGTAATAAAACTTCTTTATTTACGATTTTAATTGTAATTTTTCCTTTCATACTTAGTTATACAGAGTGATTCATAAAGGTAAACCACAACATGCACCATTGACTAAAGAATCGAAAATGGGTAAAACTTTTGTTCTGGACTGGGTGCCGAATCTCAAAGCTAATAAATGGCTTCGCGACAATATTTTAAGTTTTTACATTCTATAAGCTCTTTAAAATCTTGACTTTGGAATGATTTTTGTTCTATATCTCCTTTATCATATTAAATTTTTAATATTTAACGACTTAACGCTTTAAGCTAAAGAACCTGGGAAAAATTCTGAAAAAAAAAATTTGAAAGCTTCCAAAAATTTCGTATGAAAATATCTGGTTAGAGAAAACTAAAAAAATATAAAAAGAGACAAATTCGATTTATTTGAAAGTTCGAATGCTTGGTATTTCGAAAGTCACAAAACAAAAAATCAAGTAAAGCATTGATTTTAAGCTTTTAACTAGCCCTTTCAGAGACTATTTGAAGCACTTATCTGTTCCGAAATGGAAGTTATAAGCAAAAAAAATTGGACAAGTAGAAATTTCGTAAAAATTCGTTAAAATCCCTATATCTGGGAAACTCTTGAGATTTGGCCTATTTTTACCTATTTTCGATCCTCTAACAAATAGTATATTTTGTTGTATATCTTCTGAAACACCTTGTATAGGTGTACTAATATGTAACATGCATCATACATTATAAGTTGTTTTACCGCCAGTTGTTAAAATAAAATTAATTTTATTTTTATAACAATTAAAAGTTTAATTTTAAATAAAAATCCCAAAATACTCTTTTAATTCGACATAAATTGTATATTTTTATGTAACTATAAATTGATTATATCTGTTAATTAATATAATTATATTCATTTAAATTATACCTATGTATTTAAAAATACTATGTATGTTGTATTGTTAATACAATTTAATTGAGAGTTTATTTAGGAGAAGATTTGCTTTTTAAACGAAATTTTTCAATTTTTTTTATCGCATAGTATGGCAACATTTAGTAACTGATAAATAATTTTAAAATTTAATAATTTCCAATTTCCCAAAAAAATTGAAATTACAGTAATTAATAAACAATTATAAAATAAATGCTTTTCAGTCAGTATTTTAGAAGAAATTTTAGTAATTCGATCATATTAAACCGGTTGTTTTCTTCTATAATTCAATAATAATTAAACAGTTGAATATATTATTTAATTAACATTATTTTGATGACACTAAAATTCTAGTGAAATATTCTTTTGTATCATAAATTGTTTCTTTAGAAATTTATCAAATTAAAATTAATATAATAAAACAATTGTTAAAAGTTTTTTCAATTAAAAATTAAATTAAGAAAATTGACTGAATCCTAATTTGATATTTGAATGCTGTGAAGTTTTCCCCGGGTAAATTTGTTGAAGACTACTTTCATTTACTTCTCTGCTGGTTTTAATTTCGCAAATTAAACATTTCATTTCTTTCGATTTAGTTTTTAATTTCTTCTCAGTGTTTCCTTTTTATCTCCGTGGCTTAAGCCACTTATTTACAATAAATCTTATTTATAATCTTTTGAAAAACAAATCAAATATTTTAGTGTCAATCAAAATTAATTTTAAAAATCAGATCTTCCATATTCAAATTTAAAGAATTTTATAAGTAATTTTTCAAATTATAACAAATTGATTTATTGAACTCTACCTAAATCTTGAATTTTTTGTTTTAATTTCCGCAATATAACAAAAAAGAGAGTTAATTTACATGTTACAAGGAAAATCATAATTTTAGAACATTTTTAACAAAATAAAAATAATTTTTTTTTATATTTATTTTAACTATAAAATTCTAAATTTAACAATCAGATTTTTTTTTTGTGATATAAAAAAGTTATCGTCATATCATTTATTAAAGATACACACTTAATCATCATTTGCATTTATCAAAATTTGGGAAAAAATCAAAATTTATTTTTAAATAAAAACCAATTCCCTTTGACCAACTATTTCTTATTCATTATTATTTAGTTTAGAAACTATGGTGGAAATATTTTAATTAACCGCAAAATTAAATAATAAAAAACAATAAAACAACAAAATATGCGTCATCAAATTTTTAATCCATTTGTCTTATGGAAGTCCCCCCAAATTTACATTTTAAATTTCTGTTACACATTTTCTTCTACATGTGTACATATAATAATTTTGTCTGTTGACGACAATAGATCAGGAATTGTGTTCAAGTAGAATTAAGATCACGAATATTTTAAAAACAAAATAAAATTGTTGATATTATTCAAATTTATTTTTTATGAGTAATATTTTGTATTTCTTCCCTTATTTAACAAAAACTAGTTTTCTTTTACTAGAATTACAGGCTTTTTATTATAGTTTGTTTATTACATTACATTTCATAGCCAACAATAACCAAGTTTTTAAAATGTATTTTAGCTTTATTGATATAGAAAAAATCTTGTACAAATTCTTTAATTAAAAAATCGGAAATATTATTTAAACATTCGTCATTATACTATAAATAAAGTAGCGACTATACTACTCTTAATAACTAATAATATCAAATGTGAGCTATAATTACAATTTAATTGACTAAAATATTAAATTTATTATGGTAACTCTATGCTTTATCAAACTCGATTTGTTTTGGTTTTTTCTTTTTAACTTAAATTCCTGAAATGAAAAATCATAACCCTTTCTTTAATTGATTTCACACAGCATCCATAAAATCGCAACCGAAATAAATGAAGAACAAAAAACAAAAATAATAATAAAAATTCTTAATACTTACTGTATATAAATCGAAATCAAAATAAAGAAAAAAAAAATAACAATAACTTAAACTTAGTTGATGACGACTATAACAATCTAGTTATGAATATTTAGCACTCTTATAATCGGTAGAACTAAAATATAAACATGTGTATGTACAGACGTATTTATTTACCTTTGATAAAATTAGTCGGGTTTTCCAGAGAAATAAAAAGACGATAAATGTGAAGAAAACAAAAAGAGAAAAGCAAAAAATCAAATAACAATCTTACCTGTTGTGTGTTGTTGATTTGTTATGCTTGCTTACTGTTATACTATATACATATTATTATAATAGTTTATTATTGTATACAAGTATGTCGTATACATTTTATAAATATTGTCAATAAAGTTACGCGAACGCGCCAATTGAAAAATATTCATATACACTCATACATACATATATAATTATTGTATAGTATCGAAGTTAAAGTGATAATTTATAACTTTTTTTTTCTTTTTCATTTCTTATGTGTTTGGCGTTTTTTTTTATTATAATTTTCTTATTTTTTCTTTTTGTTTTATCTTAAAAATTAAAATTTTCTTTACCAGGTTCGCTGTTTTTTGTTGTTGTTTTTTGTTTTTTTAACTTAATTCGCATTGATGTTTAAGTTTTTACAATTATTAATTTTTTTAAGTCAAAGCTTTCAAAATGTTTTAAAAATCTGAGAAATTATGTTTAAATGATCATTTGAAAAAGTTCTGGCTTAGTGTAAGGAACTAACTAATTAAAGTTTAAAAAGAAAAAATTAAATAAAAGAATATAAAAATATTTAAAAATTTATTGGTTAGTTTGAAAAAAAAAAAGTAAAAAAAGTTGATAAATAGAAAATTTTTGCATTTATTTGTATGCAATTTACTTGTGATTAAAAACAAAAATTAAGGATATTAAGGATAATACTCAAGTTATAATATAAAGAAAAAAAAAACATAGAAAATTTAAAATAATTTTAATTGTTTTTTTTTTGTGATTTTAAACTTATAATTTAACAAAATAAACATAATTATAAAAATGATTGTTAATAGTAAAATTGGTTTTAAAAATATTTATGGATTTTTATTCCTAATAATTGGATTAAATTCATGTGGTATAATGTAAGTAAAATAAAAGACACAATTTTAACTTAAAAAAATAAATTTTATTTCAATAAATTTTTGAATACACTTACTAAGTGAATATATTTTTATTAAATTGTTAAAAATTTATTAATATTCTTGAAATGTTTTCGTCCTAATTCATATTTTATGATATTTCCTTTTTATTTGACTTCATTTCGTAGATTAACTTTTAAATTCAATTTTTGAATTTTGAATGATTTTGAAACAACATCTAATTTATTAAAATTAAAGCAATAATATCGTTCATCATTCTTATTAAAACCTTTTATGTAATTACAATAATTCTTAATAAAATTATTCCGAAAATACTAAAATATTTCGATATTTTATTAAAAATTAAAATGTCAATATGAAATTAAATTCCTTGGGTTGTTTCTTGGGTCATAAACTATTAGGTACATTAAATGAAAATAATAGTTGAGCTTAATTTTTAACTGTATATATACTATTGATATTGATACTGTATATTATATACATTATAAAACATTCATTATTTCACACAGCTGGCCCGTATTTTAAGTATCACATGGCTAGTGTTGTTTTAAAACAATAGAATCAATTATTATAAATTACAATTTTCTTATTGTAATTGATACCTTATAATATTCTTCGTATAAATTATTTTAAAATTATTCTAAAACGATTATTTATTATATGCAAATATAAATAAGTATAATATTTTTAAATGTTCAAGTAAAAAATTAGCATTTTAATTATAATAATGTTTGAGGTCCTTGATAATTTTTTTATGAAAATTATCTATATTTAAAATTATTATTAATATTAATTATAATTACGTTTAAATATTTTTTTTTATATAACCTACATTATCGTAATTATTTTAAAAAGTTTTAGTAAAAAATTTTTTAATTGTTTTCAATAATTTTAAATATTCCAAATACGAAAATTTGTTTTTTTATTTGAAAAGTGTGAATTATACAAGCTTTAAGAAATTTTTTTCAGCACAACAAAAATATTAACAAATTATGAATACAATTAAAAAAAAATATTTTTTTTTCTTGTTATTGTTATTTTTAAATTAATAAATTCTTATTTGCACTATAAATAAAATATTTTGTCATTATTAATAAAAAAAATAAGATATAGATATATTATGGGGAAATACAAATTGACGAAATTTTAAAGGTATTTGAGGAATATTGTTAAAGATGAGGTAAATTAGTAAAAAAATATAATAAAATAAAAAAATTTAATATAAAATTAAGTAAAAATATGTTAATTTAAACCGCAAATAGCTAAACAGTATGAGCAATAAAGAGTTCATAAAATCATGTTAAACTTATTCATATGGTTGCTTATGGTTTGTATTCTTAACACGGTATATGTAGGGTATTGTTGTTTATATAAATTTAATAAATAAATATTAGTTGATTAATTCAAATTTTAAAGAAAATTTAAAAAAAATAATGTTATAAAAACTGTAATTATAATATAAAAAATATTTTATTGAAACGTGATGATTAATTATTATAAAATGTAAAAATTTATTTAATTTTTTTTTAAATTTTATGTTTTCCTAAAATTATTCTCAAAATATAATGCAATAAATGAGATGTTGACAGTAACTTAAATATCAAATTAATAGAAAAGCCAATAATAAAGAGCAAAAATCAAAATCGAATTATTCGACTGTTGAAACTGTGCTATAGCAATTTAGTAAAATTATATGGAGCTCAAAATTGAACTATAAAAATTTTAGATTTCACATATTTAAATTTACATAAAATTTGAGAATTTTGCACAAACTAAACTTAAGTAACTGAACGTATATACTCGTAAATTATATGGTATTAATATACAGAAATGTAGTGTTTTACGTTTAAGTCCCACAATTTTATTTTAATTTTCCATTATACAAGTATAAGTATTTGAAATTTCAAAAAGCTCATAACAATTTTTTAAATTTTTTATAATATTTATGCAGACTATAATTTTTTTAATATACATTATGTATATACGTCTTAATTTATTGGCATAGTAGCTTGAAGAAAACATTTTTGTTTGAATAAACGTTTCGCAAAACTTTTGTATTCTATTTGCTGTTTTTCTTATACTTTTATATTGTACAATTGTATATATTAAATATAATTGTAAAGTTACATTATGTACAAAATCACACACCAAAAATCTAAATATTATTAATTTATTAATAGTAATTAAAATTATTTAATTATTCATTTCATATGATATATTATAACACCATGTACATATATACATAATGGTGTAAATTCAATTGAATTAAAATTACAAAAATTCTTTAAATTTGTTTGATCTTACAAAATATGTATGTATGCATGATTGTATGTATTAATAGCTTTGTATAATTATATATATATGGTATAATTCATATATAACATTAACATAACACACGCTTGTAAGATCGGTGTAAGGTTGATGTGAAAAAAAAAAAAAGTTGAAGGTAAATTTTTTAACATTCTTATCAAAACAGATTGTGTGTGCGTGTATATGCGAGTATATATTTTGTAATGATATAATCGATTACATATAATTATTTTGATATATAAAATTTATTTAATGTACTTATTATGTACATATATATCAAGTATATTATACAACAGTAGATTTATATTAAAAGCTATAATCATAATAAATCACTTTTTAATTGAAATAAATTTTTAAAATTCCAATAGCAAATTTGTTAAATTTTCCTAATAAATTTTAATATATTGTTCTACATAATAATGCCAAATTTTAACTATAGGGTACACATAATATAGAATTTAATGTGATCTTGTTGAATTCTTAGTATAGGTTTTAGATTAGAACATTATCCAATTAAAATTAGATATTTTTAATATTGGAAAAAAATATTAAATTGTAATATTAACGTCGGTTCATTAATATATTTATAATACAAGTATTTTATTACATAGCTATAAATTTATGACTTTAAAAATAATTTTATGATTAATCATATACGTATATAAAATGATAATAAAATTATTGTATAAAAATAAAATTTAAAACAAAAATATATAAAATTTAAATTTAATAAACCAATCATAAACATATACATATATACTTAAGTATATAAAAATATTAATTGCGGTAATTATAATTGATTTTCACTGTACTTACACTTACAATTTATTCGTTTATATTTACTAACATTTTTATACTACCATTATGTTACGATGTAAAATTAAATGCATATGTGTATGTACATAAAAGATTTAAAAATAGTAACATTTTACTATATATATATATTTTACCATTATATTTTTATTATACTTATATACAATATATTATTAACCTTGAACTTCATATTAAAAATTTAATGAACTGCACAATATTCTTTTAAGATTTTGATCTTGAAAAATGGCTTTCATAGATAAAATAGTAGATGTTGTATAAATTACAAAAATAGTTAAATAAGAAAAAAAAAACAAGATAAAATGTAAACAGAATAAGAATTAAAATATTTTTTTTTTAATTTATGTTGTTTAAATGGAATATTTTTTATAATATCCATTTACGTCTTTTTAATATGAACGGAAAAGCGATAACTCTACATATATAATTTTAATTACTTTATATACGATTAGTAAAATATAATATGATCGTTGTTAAATGGTTGTCTTTTAACTTTAAACCATTTTTTTATTATTATTAATATTCTTATCTAAAGGTTCTTATAAAAGTTAATTTTATATTACATAGAAATATGATGATTATTGATTTTATCCGAACCAAAATGAATTAAAAAATAAAATTGAACTCATTTTATGTTTTCTATATTTTTTTTTATGTTGTTATTTTTTGTTTTCATGAGCCATGAAAAATTAAGATCATTTCCTTTAGAATATTTTAAATGCACATTTACATATAGTGTAAGAATTATTACAAAAAAGAACAAGTGCTTGTACTTAATTCACCCCTTTGCCTCGTCCTCCTCCTTCACCTATTATTCGTTCAATCATAATTTCATAGTTGAATGAATACTTTTATAATAAAGTGAATGCATGTATACATATATATCTGCGTATATAAATAGATAAAGTACTTAAATGAACAAATTTATAAACAATTTTTTATTTATTTTTTTTAATTAATTTCACACAATTGAATCTGATCTAACCTGAACATTTTACAATTTACATGCTATAAGTTATATTGCAAACATTAAGTTGAGTGTACGTACAATTGTGAACACATTAGCAGTTTTGTGAACACTTATAGGTATAATTTTTTATATATTCAATTTTCGCACGGTTCTTATTCTTATTCTCAATATTTTAACTTGTAAATGAAAAATAAATAAAAAAAAAAAAAAACACAAATTTTCTTCAAATAAAATTTTTAAAATTTATAAGAAAAATGCATTTATAAAATGCGTAATATTTAAAAATCGATTCAAACTTAACTCTTATACATACTTTAATACATATGTACATAAAATATCTATAATATATTTCAAATACTATTTAGAATATTTAGGTAATTAGATTTCTTGTCAAGTTCAGTAAGATCTAAATTACAAAAATAAATAAAAAAAAAAATGGTTTTTTTTTTCTCATTTTATTTTTGGTTTTTTATTTTTTTTTGTTCTGTAATTGAGAATTACAAGAAAGGAAACATTACCTTGACATACCCTTGATTCTGATTATGCTCATAAGTATGTATTATTTTTTATCTAGATTATGTTATACATAGGCACTTGTTAATTTTTTTTTAATTCAGTACTTATATGTTAGGTTTACAGAATTGCACGTAGGCATTTTAATGTGTAAAAAAATTTGCTATACTATACATAATATTATGTTTGGTTATAAGAGTTATAAAAAGACATAAAATGGTGTATAATGTAAATGAATACAATATAGGTGTTATAATTTTCGCATAAGTATGTAGATAGTATAAAAAAAAAATTGAAAATTATTTTACAAAACGATGATTTCAATTATACTTTATCATTTTGTTATTATAAATTTTTT